TCTAAACTCAGAACAAAATTTAGAAACTATTTAGTAAGGGGTTTTTTTTTTTTGCGGTTGTAGATTTTGGGAGTCAAAGTTAGAAAAAGCGTGTTTTTACACTTGCTCCATCATATTTTATAATATTTTTATAGTAAATCATGTAGTATGATGAAAATAATGGTGTCTTCAGAATGTCCATTTAATGGCGAGAAAAATGGCATATAATGTGTGGGTGCAGTAAATGAGTAAGAGTTAAACTACAGCTAAACTCAAATACAGCAGAAATTAAAAAGAGCCCTGGTCCCAAACGGAAAGAAAATTAAAAAACGGTCTGGTCACTAAGGGGTTAAAAAGACAAGCCACAATAGACATGATATTTGGACATTAATTAAAAACTCACTTTATCCAGAAATTAGATCTAACATGTCTCCTGCAAGCAACATTATACCATTCATGGGCATATAAAAAGCTCATACTGAGTTTAATACTATATCGTGTTGTACAATTACAAAGCTGCCTTTTGTGCTCTGGACTTTCTCCCTCGATATGTCCCAAAAGGTAGTGACTGCCAAGTTCCTATTGGCTGCAAGACTCAGTGTAAAATAATTTATCTACTTGATAAAGCCTATTGAAAGGTGAAATGCGTTTTAGAAGATTTTTAATTTATTTTATTAATAAATTACCATTGGCTATTTTTATATTATTCTTGTGCCATACTCCTTTTATTTATTTTAAATTTTTTATCTACTGCCTGGCATCCTGACCATTGATTCCAGTGAGAATCTCACCAAGAATCCAGGGTAGAGATCATACCACCTGCGCCCTATACATCGAGCAGTGACCAAATGCTTGACCAAATATGAGTCTGCTTGACTACTCCTGGATTTCAGACATACAGAGAGCACTATTTTATAAATACCTTGGGCTCCATCTATGCTACCACGCTGAGAAAACCTAAAGAATTCCACCTACCCATATATCCTAGACATGGGAAGAATACCACTCTACGCTCTACTCAGGTAAATGTGAGTAGGATCTATTTATTATTTGCACAGTTCTCAAAATTTGGAATATACTATGTGGCTACATAACCTCGCCACGTGCTCCTGGAGGAGCCTGCAGGTTGCCTCCTGCCGAAAGACTATGGGCCCTATAAAAGCAAGGTGAAAAGATTTGGTTTGTGGGATTTTCCTGAACTAAGGACCACCCGGGAACTTGTCAAACCCTATGAGCACCTTGTAACGATTCTGTCCGCAGTGTTCTAATTGTTCGTCTGGGTGGCCGACGTTCGTATGGCCTAACACGTTGTGGCAGCCATCTTGTTCCCGCGAATGCAGGCAGCGGTGTTTGGTCGTCGAGTGCATGAAACTGAAATCGGTCACTCAAACTACCGAATTTCCATAATCGCCTGTGTTCGGTACATCGTGCAAGGCCACTGTTTGGTGGAATCGGAGGTCTGGATAAGGGGAACAAGCTCCACGTTATGACTATTGACTACGTTCGGTAGTTTGTTCATTTTTAAACTACCGAACTTGATTGACCCCTACCACTTTTCCCTTGGAACTATTTTGGGCAGGAGCCTCGTGTGCGGTCGGTCAAATTATGACTTCCATGGAAAACCCAAACCAATCTGGGTGACTTTTGGATATGTTTATCACCCAGATCAGGGCTATCAGGGGATGTGACTTTTGTGGGGTTTTCATGTGTTTTGGGGGTACTTTTGGAGAATTTGTAAAATGTTTGTTTTCTGTGCCTGAAGATAACTGAGTTTGTACAGTTCCTGACTCAATTATCTCTCAGGTAGAAGGGAGGGGGTTACCCTGTTTTGTGTTGGGAATCCATTGCATGGGGTTTGCATAAAAGGCCATGTGTGGCCCTAAATAAATTAGATTACTTCCCAGCAGGGAGGGGGGCAGCTATACTTGCACTTTTACTGGCTATACTGCGATACTCTCTTGGTCTTCCTACTGGGAGCTGAATATAGGTGTTGGTGCAGGATGGGAAGTGACAACAAGACCCCAGCTAAGCTGTGGCTGCCAAGGGGGGCTACAGTGCTTATGGTGTCCGGTACTGTGCTTATGGTACTTGGCAACTACTAAGAAGCACGACTGGTTGAGGTATCCAGTCGGGGATGCCAGGTGGTCCGCCACATACTGTACCATTGGATGCTTTTTTCTATTCTCTCTACATATGTACGCTTGGACTTCGAGACACACGTGTCCCAGAACCCCATAAAAGTCATCTATCCCTATCAAGATTTAGCTGTTTCCATACCAGTGGTATTCAATTATGTTTGCATTTTTTTGTTGGACTTTTGTTGAACCGGCTCTAAACGCCAGAGGGCGGCATAGAATGTCCCCGCCGTCCTAGAATGTCCCCCTCTGTACTCTTCAGCTCCCCTGGGCCATGTGATTGCGAGGTTCTTGCGAGGACCTTGCGATCACATGGACAGCATAGCCAGAAGGGGGGATGCCTGTAATGACAGGTACTTCCCCAGCTGCCTGAAAAAAATAAAAAACTGTTTAAAAACAGTGTAAAATTAAATATAAACTTAGATCGTATATATATATATATATATATATATATGATCTAAGTATATATATATATATACATACACATAAATACACACACCGTCTATGTGTATTTTAATATTAATATATATATTAATATCAAAATACGCGTACGATGATATTGATTATATATATATAGATAATTTTATATATATTTATTTATAATATCAAATATATATGTAAATACGTAAAAAATCTAAAAAAATAAAAACTAAATATATATATACACACACACACACGTAATTTCATTCTAACTGTATTTTAAAATTAATATATATATATATATACACACACACACACACACACACACACACACACACACACACACACACACAATTAAGTCAATTTATTAATTACAATTTGCGGCAACTGCCTGACAACCCAGGCCGAGAATCCAGGGAATTTAATTTGTTAGCACTGTATTTAACCCTGTAACTTTACAAGACACCATAAAACCTGTACATGGGGGGTACTGTGTTACTCGGAAGACTTTGCTGAACACAAATATTAGTGTTTCAAAACAGTAAAATGTATTACAACAATGATATCATCAGTGAAAGAGATTTTCGCATTTTTTACACACAAATGGCACATTCACGGACGATATAATTGTTGTGATATGTTTTACTGTTTTGAAACACTAATAGTTGTGCTCAGCGACGTCTTCTGAGTATAACAGTACCCCTCATGTACAGGATTTATGGTGGTTTCAATAGTTACAGAGACAAATATAAGGCTTACGTTTCAGTTTTTTCACATTGAAATTCGCCAGATTGTTTATGTTGCCTTTAAGACTGTATGGTAGCCCAGGAATGAGAATTACCCCCATGATGGCATACCATTTGCAAAAGTAGACAATCCAAGGTATTGCAAAGGGGGTATGTCCAGTCTTTTTTAGTAGCCATGTAGTCACAAACACTCACCAAAATTGGCGTTTAAATAATTTTTTTTCATTTTTCACACACAAACAAATATTAACACTAACTTTGGCCAGTGTTTCTGACCAAGTGGCTACTAAAAAAGACTGGACATACCCCATTTGCAATACCTTGGGTTGTCTACGTTTGCAAATGGTATGCCATCATGGGGGTAATTCTCATTCCTGGGCTACCACACGGTCTTAAAGGCAACATAAACAGTCTGGCGAATTTCAATGTGAAAAAAATGAAAAATTTAACATGCTATATTTGACCCTTTAACTTCCCAAAACACCATAAAACCTGTACATAGGGGGTACTGTTTTACACCTGAGACATGGCTGAATACAAATATGTGTATTTTATTGCAGTAAAAGCAAACAGTATTTTGACATTCACAGTTAGAATGTCACGTAGAACTAAACATTTATTTTTAAATTTGTATTTTCGCCATTTTTTATATTTTATTCATATTAAATTATATTATATACCTAAATATTTGATGTTGAATGAAAGTCCTGTTTCCCCTGAATAAAATGATATATAATAAGTGTGGGTGCACATAGTGTGAAAGAGGTAAATTACGCCTGAACAGACATATAGCGCAAATTCCAGTTTTTGTTTACGTTTTGTTTTGATCACATGTACATTTGGCTCAGACCTTAAGGGGTTAATAATGTAATATTTTCATTGTACAAAATTGATTCTCACCATGACTTGATTGGCATTCTGTCTGCTAATTTCAATCTTTGTCCCATACGCTTCTATTTCAACCTTTGCAACGACTGATAGGTTCAAGTTTGCCACTTTCTGGTTCTGAATGTTGACCTGGAAATCAGTTAACCCTAGACTGTGGTCACAGAGGGCAGAGAGCTGGTACTTGCAGTTGCCAGTTAAATCATGTTTACCTCCATCGTATGTGAAGTAATGGGTACTGCTACAGGTACTACACTTTCCAAAAGTGGTGGGGTAACAGCCTTGGAGTCCTTCTCTCACACTACATTCTTCGCCAACTCTGCATGATGTTTTACTGCACTCCACTTTCTGGCTTTGTCCATTGCAAATACACTTTTGGCTACAGGTATTGTCCCCCCAAAATGACTGGTGAGGCGCATATGAACGCCCATTTATAAAGCAACCACAGTTTTCTTTGGATGAGCACTTTCCTCCTATCAGAACGAAACCTGGATCACATTGACATTGCTCCACACAGAGTTCAGAACATGGAGATGATGCAGTCGGATCTTGACACGTTGGGGCACAGGCCCTCCCGCAGAGTATATAGGTGCTGTTCTGGGGGCAGTTTAAGCCTAGGGGCAATTAAGAACACAGTGTAAATGTGATTAACATCTCTTCTTTACCAGATTTCATTTTCAAAGGGGTTTATATACAGCAAACAACGAGTTTCATTCATTCTAAAGATAAAATGTGACCACGTTTACAAGTGTGATGAGTGCAGTTTTTGGACTCACTTTCTTATTTAATTCTATGTTCACTCAAAGTCCATTCACTTTATTGTATGAGGGATGAGAGACATGAGTTTCTGTTCCTGCAGGTCTACAAAGAGTAACAAGAGATCTGCACTAGAGATTATCTTATTTTCTCAGTGTCGTTGAAAGACAATTAGTAGGAATGAGCAGTGCCACCAATGCACGTAGATGTCCTGCTCCTTACTATGCCACCAAAGATTGGTCTATCACTAGGTGCTTGTCAGGATGTTACCTGATGTGGAGTCTGATGTGCAGAGTTATACGCTCATCCTGGCAAATAAACACACACCAAGGTGACCAGGTAAGAAGCCACCTAGGCTGTGAGTCTGTGCAGGAATATAGCTCCAAGTCACAGAACAGGCAAGAAGAGTAGTCATGGAAAGCTGAAGTCAGTGGAAGTCAGAGTAAACGATGAGATAAGTCAAGGTCAGGAACCGCCTGGAAAACACTGGATCAAGATACACTATAGCAGGAACCAGAGTCAATTAACTGACACTGCCCTCAAAGAGAGGCAGTGTTTTATATCTGGCTAATTAGCGATATGCGAAAACAAGGGGCTGGCTGAACTCACCTAAACATGCTTAAAGGATCACTATAGTGTCAGGAAAACTAAGCACTATAGTGCCCTGAGGGTGTCCCCACCCTCAGGGTCCCCCTCCTGCTGGGCTGAAGGGGTTAAAACCCCTTTAGCAGCTTACCTTATTCCAGCTCTGGGCTCCCTCGGTGCTGGTGACCTCTCCTCCCCTGCCGATGTCAGCAGAGACGATTTTGCATGCGCGGCAAGTGCCGCGTGCGCATTCAAGCTGTCAATAGGAAAAAAAAATTCAAAGCTTTCCTATGGATGCTCTGCTGGAAGACAGCCACTAGAGGCTGGCTTAACCCTGCAATGTTAACATAGCAGTTTCTCTGAAACTGCTATGTTTGCATCTGCAGGGTTAAAACCTGAGGGACCTGGAACCCAGACCACTTCATTGAGCTGAAGTGGTCTGGGTGACTATAGTGTCCCTTTAAATGGGGTGCTACAGGGGGCCAATAAGTACAGTAAAAATGCAAATCCAGCGTACTTCCTTATCTGCTAAACAGCTATTTTGCTAGTTTTATTAAAAACACCTAATCTAGGCAAAAAATAATGGGGGTTTAGTTACATTATATGATCATACGTTGCATAAGCCTGGCACAACATCAATGTACCCCATCTTTGGCAGGTCCTACTCTAACAGCCAACTGTTAGATGAGCTTCTCACTTGGGAAAATCCTTCCACCTCAAGTTCTCTGCAGTACAGGGCTAAATAGGGTCCTGGGAGGAGACACGTGTGACAGGGAGGGGTGCAAACCCAAGGAGCTGGCTAGACTCCTAAATATATATATGAAAAAACAAGGGGTTGGCTGCATTCACCTAAACATGCTTAAATGGGGTGCTGCTGGGGGCCAATAAGTACAGTAAAAATTAAAATCCAGCGCACTCCCTTATCTGTTAAACAGCTATTTTGCTAGTTTTATTAAAAACACCAAATCTAGGCAAAAAGATTATGGGGCTACACAGAAAATGCAGCAGGGCTCATCAGCGGAACAGCCAGATGTTGCAGTGACAGACACCATCCAAGATGGCCGCTGCAGAGGCCTCACGTGCTACACTCCAAAAGGGGCCATAAGCCTGGGAGTAATCGCTTACACTGTTACTAGTTCTCATAACGCAACATTGTGTGCAGCTCCACTAGACAAGTTATGTGATACCTCTAAACCGGTATTATGCCATGATTTATCTTTTAACTATGCCACTGTAACTCATGATATGTCGACATGCATCTTCAAAATAAAGAATTAAAAAAAAAAAGTTGGAAAAGGGACAGCAAGAAGCAGAAAGGGGCAGTAAGCAGCAGGAAGCGTCAGCAAGTAACAGAAAGGGTCAGCAAGGAGCATAAATGGTCAGCAATGAGTAGGAAGGGACAGAAGGAGCGCACAGAATCAGAAGGAGCACAAGGGTAAAGTAGGAGAAGGAACAGAAATGAGCAGGAAGGGACATCAAGGAGCAGAAAGGGTCAGCAATGAGCTGGGAGGGGCAGAAGGAGCACAAAGGAACATAAATGAGCAGGAAGGGTCTGCAAGGGGCAGGAAAAATCTGCAAGGAGCACAAAGGGCAGCAAGGAGTAGCAAGAAGCAGGCATGGTCAGCAAGGAGCAGGAAGAGACAGAAGGAGCACAAAGGTAAAGTAGGAGAAGGAGCAGAAAGGAACAGAAATGGACAGGAAGGAACAGAAAAGAGCAGGAAGGGTCAGCAAGGCACTGGAAGGGGCAGAAGGAGTACATAGGTAAAGTAGGAGAAGGAGCAGAAAGGAACAGAAAAGAACAGGAAGGAACATAAATGAGCACGAAGGGTCAGCAAGGCGCTGGAAGGGACAGAAGAAGCACAAAGGTAAAGGAGCAGAAACAATCAGAAGGAGCACAAAGGTAAAGTAGGAGAATTAACAGAAAGGAACAGAAATGAGCAGAAAGGGGCAAAAGAAGCACAAAGGTAAAGGAGCAGAAAGAATCAGAAGGAGCACAAAGATAAAGTAGGAGAAGGAGCAGAAAGGAACAGAAATGAACAGAAAGGAACAGAAATGAGCAGGAAGGGTTAGCAAGGCACAAGAAGGGTTAGCAAGGCACTGGAAAGAGAAGAAATGATCAGAAATGGTCAGCAAGGAGCAGGAAGGGACAGAAGGCACACAGGTAAAGGAGCAGAAATAATCAGAAGGAGCACACAGGTAAAGTAGGAGAAGGAGCAGAAAGGAACCTTTAGAAAAAAACTTTAAAAAAAACTAATAAACTCTGTCAACATTGAAGTTGCTGTTTAGTAGATAGGAGAGTGCGCTGGATCTTGTGTATTGCTTAATGTAACTGTGAAGCACTTTGGGCAACAACGTTGCAATTAAATGTGCTATATAAATAACTAATAACAGTTACTCCGCCCACTCTAGTTGGTTGTAGACTACTGGTGGAGGCAAGAACACCACACAATTTGCCCAGAAATTGTAGCTTTCTAGTTGGTTAAAGCTCTTTCCTGTTGTCATTTTTTTATGGTAGATAATTTGGACTCTGAGTTCCTTTCTTTTGATATTGGTGACTTATTAAGTGTACTACTTTAAGGAAAGGATTGCCCTGATTAAGTAATTCCCAGGAAACACAGGGTTACAAGTCCGCACATTCTTTATCGCAATTAGGTACATATGGTCCAATCTACGAAGAGCCTCATTTTCAGTGGACTTCTCCTATATATCTCCAGAATTTCCTATGTGAACTTATGTTGAGAAAGCACCCAGGGGGGTGCGAAACGCATCCAGGTTTCTCACTTCATCTTTTTTCATGGATAGCGGAGTAGGTGGTCTCTCTTTTATCAGGCAGTAGCAGGTATTGCAACAATTTTGTTACTAAGTGTTCCTATTTTTGCAAATGTGTCATCTTTGCATGGATACCTATATTATTACGATTAGTGCTGTCAATGATATGCTGTTTGCACCTTCATCAACCCTGCCTCTACACTCAGGATTAATGAAGACTGCCATGCCATATTTTGTTTTTATGTCCACCATCAATAAATGTGCACTTTTTCAGTACATAACTTGCCTATTCGTATTTTTTTTCCTGAGGATCATAGGGGTATTCCACAAAGTGCAGAATACAAAGTCCTGCACTGGGATCCAACTAATTACCAAGGCCTTACGATTATTCCTGCTATTTAAAATACATGTACTTGGAGTTGTGGTATTGTTTGTGGGTGAGATTCATTTCCCATCCACTAGTTTATGTTTTATTTTAGCAGGAATTATATTTGCAAGGTTATGTTAGAAGCACTTACGACATCCGGCCGTCTCTCTCCATTCAGTGATGTTCGCCCCTGCCTGCTGGCAGGTGTCTGCATAGTCCTTAATTGCCTGACATGCAAGCTGCTTGTAACCATTATTTACACACACATCGTACACGCAGTTATCCATGTAAGTGCTGGGATCCACAAAAGCATGACACGCGCTGAAGGGACCGTCGTCTTTCTTGGCAATAAGCCCACAATAGTTATCTGTTTTAAATTTATCTGCCACATTTGGAGGGCAGGTTAGACAGGGTCCACTGCAGTCATCCCAGCAGTCTGCGCCATTGTCCATCTGGAAGGACCAGAATGAAAGAAACATAGAACTTAAAAAAAAAAAAAATAATAACTTTCTCAGATCTGTTCTTACTCTGACTACAATTATTTTATATTGTTTAGCTTGATTCTACATCTCTCAAGTCTCTAACTGTTCCAATCTCTGCCCATTGACATGATGACTGACACCATCAAGTTGTAGGCAGACAAACCCTTTTATAAACTCACACTTTAAAGGCAACTCAGCAATCTAAAATGTTTAAGTAATGATTAAAGTGGGCAGCCATTAATGTGTCCACTGCTTCTCACCCCCAACGCATGCTGGAGGGTGAGGGTATGCGCAGGAACACCTATAAAATTGCCCCAGCTGTTGGACAGCATCTCTCCATTCTCATTAGTTTGAGAGAGTATGATTTTATGGATACACTTGGTATTGATATTTGAAGAAATTTTGGGGAATATTTATTTTATTTGCATGGGCACCCATGTATTTTTAAACAGGGAACACAAATGTTGTGACTGAAAAACTAACGTCGACCCTGCACAATAATTCCATTTTACCACACCCTGATTACATGTGAAAATTAGTAAAGTAATTAGAGGTCCCAGGAACCTGGGGTATTCTCCTTACTGTCTGATCATGAATGGAAACGAGGGGACCAGCCTGCTGTCACCCACTGCTTTGTTATTTCACTTTACACTCAACTCTGATATTTTGACAACACTCGTCCCTTTCTTCTGATGTTGCCAGTAAAGTACCACTGACATAGCAGCCTTTTGGTCCTTGTATTTTGTAATAGGTTTAATAACTGGTGGCCAGGAAGGATTTTTCACTCAGATTTTAATTTGTTCTCTACGTGCAGAGTCTCTGAAGAATTCAACAAAGGGGCAAATAACCCAGAAACATTTAGAGCCCATTCCGTAACTCTATTATTTTACTGGAAACACATACATTTGGCAATCAAATATTTGGACTCTTAAAATACTGGAAAATAATACAGATTTTGAATCTAGTCATAAAAATGTCTTACCTTCCAACTCTTTCCAAACTCAATGGCATTAGGGGCCTGAGAGCCGCTAGGCATTTGAAAGTCATCTGCCGGATCCTGGTTGTAATTCCCGCACATGCCAGCAACATTCCTTGAATAACGCCTTGTGAGCTCAATGCGCACAACGTGATTCCAATCATACGATACCATTACATCAGTCGTGAACTGGATGATTGCCTTGTTCCCACTTTGAAAAATGTTCATTAGAGAGTCAGTTCCATTATTCAGGGTCACCGGCAGAAGGGACTTAATGTTATTGATCTGTTCAAAGGAATACATGATAGGAGAAACAAATAAATGTGTGTACAGGAAATGCAATGAAAATATTTAAGAATGAGAGTAAAATTAGGAAAAAAAAAACATTAAAATCAACTATTAATGAATAAAATATGCAGGTTGAACATAAGGACAGCTAAATAAAACATAACTGTTTTACCCAGTAATTGGGTAACTAGGATTTATGGATGGTCTATTCCACATAACAACAAACAGCGGTTAGAACTGGAAGCCGCTATGTTTCGAGTTTCCCTCTTCACCATACCCTGGCCCGAGGAGAGCCTATTTTAACCACAAGCTATTCAGACCACCCTACAATTGTTCCAACCAGTGGCGTACATACCAGGGTCGCAGGGGTCGCGGCTGCGACCCGGTATGTACCCACAGGGCCAGCCTCTTCCCCTGGGGGGCCCAGGAGCCGACCACCCCAGGGCCCCCCGAGGCTGGCCCTGCTAACCCGGGCGGGTGGCCGGTCGGGCAGGCGGGCGCGCGAGGGAGCACCCAGTGCTTCCTCTTCAGCTCCCTCGCGCACCGATACCGGAGCCGGAAGATGACGTCATCTTCCGGCGCCGACATCCCTACGCGGCTCGCGAGGGAGCTGAAGAGGAAGCACTGAGCCGACCGGCCACCCGCCTGACTGGGGTCAGCAGCACCACTGGACCCCAGGGAATCCCCCCAGCACTCCAAAAGGTAAGGAGGCTGGGGGGGATTACATTTAAAAAAATAAATGTGTGTTTGTGTGTTAGTATATGTGTGTTAGTGTGTGTATTTGTGTGTGTGTTAGTGTATGTTAGTGTTAGTGTGTGTGTGTTTGTGTGTTAGTGTGTGTGTGTGTTAGTGTGTGTGTGTGTGTGTGTGTTAGTGTGTGTATGTGTGTGTTAGTGTATGGTAGTGTGTGTTAGTGTGTTAGTGTGTGTTAGTGTGTTAGTGTGTGTGTTAGTGTTTGTTTGTGTGAGTGTGTGTCAGTGAGTGTGTCTGCTAGTGAGTGTGTTACTGTGTGTGTCTGTTACTGTGTGTGTTTGTCTGTTAGTGAGTGTGTGTTTGTCAGTGAAAGTGTATGTTTTGTAAGTGAGTGTGTATGTATGTCAGTAAATGTGTGTGTCTGTTAGCTAGCGTGTATGCGTCTGTTCGTGAGAATGTGTGTGTCTTCAGCATTTACCTTTCTCCAGCGTCGGACTCCCTTGGCGCTGGGGATCCCTCCACCTCTCAGCTCCGAATGCACATGCGCGGCAAGAGGCGCGCGCATTTAAACCGACCATAGGAAAGCATTACTCAATGCTTTCCTATGGACGTTCAGTGTCTTCTCACTGTGATTTTCACAGTGAGAATCGCGGAAGCTCCTCTCGCAACTGTCAATGAGACAGCCACCAGAGGCTGGATTAACCCTCAGTGAAACATAGCCGTTTCTCTGAAACTCCTATGTTTTCAGCTGCAGGGTTAAAACTAGAGGGACCTGGCACCCAGACCACTTCATTGAGCTGATGTGATCTGGGTGTCTGTAGTGGTCCTTTAAGTGTGTGTGCATACCGCGGTCGCGGTGCCGCCATGTGTTGCGGCCCCGACCAGCGCCGAGTAAGCGCGGGGGGGGGGCGCCCCACGGATCAATTTTCGCACCGGGGCCCCATGGGTCATGTGTACGCCACTGGTTCCAACGGTCCGGAATATTAAAATCGATATCCTGTCTCACATTATATGAGTCACATTGTACAAAACACATTATTAGCACGAGAAATCTCAACATTCTGCTCCCTGCTACATCAAGATAAAGTTAAAGACCTCCAACCCTTTACAAAAGAATTATCCAGAGATTTGGGTTTTGAGATCACTGATGACTGGAAGAAAGCTTGTACACTAATCCATCAATCTTCTTTTAACGACTCCATTCAAGAGATTTATTATAAAAGGGTTGTGAGATGGCAATATTCTCCAACATGTATACACAGGCACCCTTTAACAACTTTGTTATTTTATATGTTCCACTCTCCTATCCAAAATAATACTCCACTATCCAACACATAATCTATTGATCCGGCGGTGTCGCAAGCAATCTTCAGCCCCATCCAGGAGGGAGTGGATGCACAAAGTATTACTATATACTATGAGAAATATGGAAGAACTTCGATACCACTTCACTCATACATTTGCCTTCTATAAGGAAGACTCGTGGTTACATTCTATGCAGAGGGTCCAGCAATTCTAAGTTTAAAAGTGCAACCATGACAATGCTTTAATCTAGGGAATTACCTAGCATAACTTGGGTATCATTTTCTATGCTCCAATGACACATACACTTAAGGGATATTGTCATGTCCCGGAGCAGGTCAGAGAGGAGACAATTGCCAGGGTTATCGGTTGAAACTTTATTTGTCTGTTTAGACATAACAATTTACTTGAAAGGATTAAGGCAATCTGCCACAAACAGGATACTTTGAGAGTAAAACAGAATCAAGGTAATATGCAACAAACAGGATATCTTGAAAGAAAATGAATAAAGCCTTTTATATACAAGTAGGTTTGACGTTATTCCCAATAGATTAGTAGTTTGTGGAATGTCACACTGCAGCCAGGTTCAGGATGATACATGGTTGAAAGAGTTAAAGCTGGTACTCCCTTTTATTCCATAAGTTTGGTCCTTAAGGGGTTAAGTATAATATAGCACAGGTCGATTAAAGGATCATGCAGAGTTGCAGCAGTATAGACAGGTAAGTAGATTCCAGTATAATGTAATACAGGTTGCTTACAGGATCATGCAGTGTTGCAGCAGTTGAGACAGGTAAGTAGATTCCAGTATAATGTAATACAGGTTGCTTACAGGATCATGCAGTGTTGCAGCAGTTGAGACAGGTAAGTAGATTCCAGTATAATGTAATACAGGTTGCTTACAGGATCATGCAGTGTTGCAGCAGTTGAGACAGGTAAGTAGATTCCAGTATAATGTAATACAGGTTGCTTACAGGATCATGCAGAGTTGCAGCAGTTGAGACAGGTAAGTAGATTCCAGTATAATGTGATACAGGTTGCTTACAGGATCATGCAGTGCTGCAGCGGTTGAGACAGGTAAGTAGATTCCAGAATAATGTAATACAGGTTGCTTACAGGATCATGCAGTGTTGCAGCAGTTGAGACAGGTAAGTAGATTGTAGTATAATGTAATACAGGTTGCTTACAGGATCATGCAGTGTTGCAGCAGTTGAGACAGGTAAGTAGATTCCAGTATAATGTAATACAGGTTGCTTACAGGATCATGCAGAGTTGCAGCAGTTGAGACAGGTAAGTAGATTCCAGCATAACGTAATACAGGTTGCTTAGAGGATCATGCAGAGTTGCAGCAGTTGAGACAGGTAAGTAGATTCCAGTATAATGTAATACAGGTTGCTTACAGGATCATGCAGAGTTGCAGCAGTTGAGACAGGTAAGTAGATTCCAGTATAATGTAATACAGGTTGCTTACAGGATCATGCAGAGTTGCAGCAGTTGAGACAGGTAAGTAGATTCCAGTATAATGTAATACAGGTTGCTTACAGGATCATGCAGAGTTGCAGCAGTTGAGACAGGTAAGTAGATTCCAGTATAATGTAATACAGGTTGCTTACAGGATCATGCAGAGTTGCAGCAGTTGAGACAGGTAAGTAGATTCCAGTATAATGTAATACAGGTTGCTTACAGGATCATGCAGGGTTGCAGCGGTATAGACAGGTAAGTAGATTCCAGTATAATGTAATACATCATGCAGAGTAAGTAGACAGGTTCCAGTATAATGTAATACAGGTTGCTTACAGGATCATGCAGGGTTGCAGCGGTATAGACAGGTAAGTAGATTCCGGTATAATGTAATACAGGATGCTTACAGGATCATGCAGAGTTGCAGCAGTTGAGACAGGTAAGTAGATTCCGGTATAATGTGATACAGGTTGCTTACAGGATCATGCAGAGTTGCAGCAGTTGAGACAGGTAAGTAGATTCCGGTATAATGTAATACAGGTTGCTTACAGGATCATGTAGAGTTGCAGCAGTTGAGACAGGTAAGTAGATTCCGGTATAATGTAATACAGGTTGCTTACAGGATCATGCAGAGTTGAAGCAGTTGAGACAGGTAAGTAGATTCCGGTATAATGTAATACAGGTTGCTTACAGGATCATGCAGTGTTGCAGCAGTTGAGACAGGTAAGTAGATTCCGGTATAATGTAATACAGGTTGCTTACAGGATCATGCAGAGTTGCAGCAGTTGAGACAGGTAAGTAGATTCCAGTATAATGTAATACAGGTTGCTTACAGGATCATGCAGTGTTGCAGCAGTTGAGACAGGTAAGTAGATTCCAGTATAATGTAATACAGGTTGCTTACAGGATCATGCAGAGTTGCAGCAGTGAGACAGGTAAGTAGATTCCAGTATAATGTAATACAGGTTGCTTACAGGATCATGCAGAGTTGCAGCAGTTGAGACAGGTAAGTAGATTCCAGTATAATGTAATACAGGTTGCTTACAGGATCATGCAGAGTTGCAGCAGTTGAGACAGGTAAGTAGATTCCAGTATAATGTAATACAGGTTGCTTACAGGATCATGCAGAGTTGCAGCAGTTGAGACAGGTAAGTAGATTCCAGTATAATGTAATACAGGTTGCTTACAGGATTATGCAGAGTTGCAGCAGTTGAGACAGGTAAGTAGATTCCAGTATAATGTAATACAGGTTGCTTACAGGATCATGCAGTGTTGCAGCAGTTGAGACAGGTAAGTAGATTCCAGTATAATGTAATACAGGTTGCTTACAGGATCATGCAGTGTTGCAGCAGTTGAGACAGGTAAGTAGATTCCAGTATAATGTAATACAGGTTGCTTACAGGATCATGCAGTGTTGCAGCAGTTGAGACAGGTAAGTAGATTCCAGTATAATGTAATACAGGTTGCTTACAGGATCATGCAGTGTTGCAGCAGTTGAGACAGGTAAGTAGATTCCAGTATAATGTAATACAGGTTGCTTACAGGATTATGCAGAGTTGCAGCAGTTGAGACAGGTAAGTAGATTCCAGTATAATGTAATACAGGTTGCTTACAGGATCATGCAGAGTTGCAGCAGTTGAGACAGGTAAGTAGATTCCGGTATAATGTAATACAGGTTGCTTACAGGATCATGCAGTGTTGCAGCAGTTGAGACAGGTAAGTAGATTCCAGTATAATGTAATACAGGTTGCTTACAGGATCATGCAGTGTTGCAGCAGTTGAGACAGGTAAGTAGATTCCAGTATAATGTAATACAGGTTGCTTACAGGATCATGCAGTGTTGCAGCAGTTGAGACAGGTAAGTAGATTCCAGTATAATGTAATACAGGTTGCTTACAGGATCATGCAGAGTTGTAGCAGTTGAGACAGGTAAGTAGATTCCGGTATAATGTAATACAGGTTGCTTACAGGATTATGTAGAGTTGCAGCAGTTGAGACAGGTAAGTAGATTCCGGTATAATGTAATACAGGTTGCTTACAGGATCATGCAGAGTTGTAGCAGTTGAGACAGGTAAGTAGATTCCAGTATAATGTAATACAGGTTGCTTACAGGATCATGCAGTGTTGCAGCAGTTGAGACAGGTAAGTAGATTCCGGTATAATGTAATACAGGTTGCTTACAGGATTATGTAGAGTTGCAGCAGTTGAGACAGGTAAGTAGATTCCAGTATAATGTTGTTGTAGAATTATTAGGCCTCTATAAATTTGTAAGGCCCCTTTAAATCCTCTTGCTATACCTCTAAGAGGCCCCCATAGTTTTACAAGGAAGCTTTGTCTATAGAACATAGAATTTGCATGTCAGCAAGAAATAGCTTTGATAAAATGTGTATTTACTAAAATCCTTGAAACTTAACCTTGAGAAACTAACAAGTGCCAGCTACGCTCCAAATGGATAGCTGCCAAAAGGCCCCTCCCGTCGAGTGAGCTCCTCATTTTAACAAAATGGCGCTAAAACCTGTAGGAGTTAAGAAATTACGTAGATAGTGACCTAAGAATGGGGAGGGCATTTTACTAACATCTTAGCACCTAAGCCAATTAACAATGTCTATTTGTCTATATCTTGATTTTCTTCAATGATGTAATAATGCCTTTATAAGGGTCTGCGCACCCATTTTCTGTCAGAAGCCATTAAACTTCTCCGAAGTTCTTTCATTAACCTGAACTTTGTGTCTCAGTGTGAATTTACTTCTGCGTGCACGCAACTTTATTATCTTTAATTTGGACAGGAACAGATAGTCATTCAAACTAATTGGTTTGCAGTAAATTATCTAGAACAATTGGCGCTCTCAACGTGGGGCTCTGGGCTATGTCCAGTCTGGGCAGCTGTCCAAGAAGACGCTGGGGGGGCTGAATCCTGGGGGAAGGAAAAGAGCCTGATCACCTCTGAATACACGGTAGAGATTGCTGCAGCACCTAGCCGGTATGTTCCTGCCCCTGTGATTGACCTGCCCCAGTGTCTGTGACTGCTGCCGAGAGGACATCAAAGTCAGGTAATAACTTGCCCAGAGTCTTTGTATTGTTAATGATACCTAGTTTACCTGCATGTTGACTATCTGTTGCCTGGGTGTGTTTGTATTGGTATGTGTTTAACTTTGTACCCGGGGAGTGTAAGTGCCTGTTTAACTCCTTTTAGGTACCACATGCCTGTGGTAGTAAGGAAAAAGGGGGGTGGACCTGTGGAAGTTTTCCTGGGGGTCCTCTATTGCCTGTTTAACTCTTTTAGGAGCCACATGGCTGTGGCTGTAAGGAAAAAGAGTAGGGGGAATCTGTGGAGGATGATGTAGACTCATTGCTTCCTGGGGGTTCCCCAGAGTGTCATTTTGACCGCTTAGCTAGCCTCATCGGACACTTCTTCTTGGTAAAATTCCAGTCTCAAGCGCTGAGGCAGGTAAGATTTCAATTCTTTAGGCTATACAGGATTCGGGTTGGAAGCTGTTGCTGTTTCCTGTGGCTGCTGGTAGTGAGACTTGCGGGTGGGTCCGCAACAGGGACACTACGAGGTTGAGGGAGGTGGCTTTTGGCCACACGAGTAAAGGCAAGGGATAAAACTGTTGAACTTATTTGAACTGTGATGCATGCACTGTATTTACACTGAAATGTTATTGTCTTAATTGTCTGTCACACAGATTCCTGTGTTTACTTCTATCTTACTCACTGTACTATTTACACTTTCCCCTCCTATTTCTCTTTCTCTTTGTTGAGAGAAGTGATTGGTCACACACTTCTCGCCACGCTCCAATCCGCGGCTACCACGGGTAGGCGGAATCAGTGACTAGTCTACGTTTTGGGAAGACGTACTTAAAGAGTTTGCTCTTAAAGTAGCAGTCGAGCACGGTAGACGTTCTGTTCCTTTCTCTCTCTATATCTGGGACGCCTTGTATAGGGAGGATGGGACAGAAGTTAGATAAACCCAGTAAGGGTTGGTTAGTATGTGATCTAGTGGAAGACAGAGAAGGAGAAGAGATGGTTAAGAAAGTGAGTAAGATTGCTAAAGTATGTGGAATTACCGTACCTCTGTGCGGCAGATTGTAGCCAGAGAGCTGGCGTAAGTTACTGACAGAAGAAAGGGAAGCTGTCGGACCAAGATTTGGTTTGTACAGCAGAAGCCTGGTACCGAGTAGCAAGAGCTATTCAGCAAAAGGGATAGGTTGAGGAAGAAATTGATCACAAAGGTTTAAGTTTGTTTGTGTATTATAATAATTGTGTTACTGGATGCTGATGGATCCCTATTCTCCCCCCCCCCATCAGTCCTACAGATCTCGTCACCCTCATCCTCTCTCTGCAGCTCCCTGCACCTCCAGTCCGTTTCTCCCGTCAAAGATTTCTGGTTTCCAAACGAATAAGTCTCTGTCCTTCTGTCTTGTTACTTTCCAGCACTCACATGGTTAATCTTCATGCCTGCAGCTTCTCTCCCTTTTTTGCACTGTCTCACATCCCCCCCCCTTTCCTCCCCACTTGCCTCCGAATGGGGGAGGTACATGCCTTCTGCATTTCGGAGCTACTGATAAGAGTTAGGAATGGGATTTTTGCTGGAAAATATTCTAATTCAGAGGTTATGGTGTTATAGTTGTGTAATAATATTATTATTGTTGCCGTTTGTATATGTATATATATATATGTGTGTATGTATATATATATGTATATATATATATATATATGTGTGTATGTATAGATTGAGTTTTGTGATAAAGTAGTGAGGATTGTGGGGGAGACACAAGAATGTAGCTCAGTGTTGATTTACGGAGGTAAGTGCATCTGATACAAGAATAGTGGAATATTTGGACGTGTTAAGTGTATAGGCAAGCGTGATTTGTTGCAGAACTATGCAATGTGGATAGAGGGAATATGCGGAGTTAAGCTAGTATGTGAAGAGGAAAGTGATAAATGGTTTGAGGAAGATAAGGTTGAATTCCGCGAGTTTATCTTGCATCATTTTAAAGAACATGTTTCTAGAAGACAGCTGTATGGGCTGTTAAATGCATAATGTTTTCAACTGTCTTATTTAACCTGCCAGGTCTGTTCATAGTTTAGTATTCCATTTTGCAGAACAGAATGTTGCTTCTCTGACTTATTTTAATAGTTTTAATATAGTGTATGGTTGAAAGTACGTCAACCACCACCCTAAAGATGGCGCCTGCCAGTCCCGTGACCTATCCACAGTCACGGTTGCTTCTAAAGTAACGTCACTTCCGCCCTTACCATGCCCACACATCCGGTCTTCCTTTCCCACACATATCATGGACGTCACCCCTCTCACTTCCTCCCTTGCTGTCATTTCCTTCCCCGCCCCTGTCATGGCTGCCTCCATCATGAGGCCTACCCCTATTATGCACTGAAACATTATAATTACTAAAACAATCATGCCATTTGTTTCCCTGTATCAGCAATTTGTCCGTGATATAAAAAAAAAAAAGAAGGTTGCTAAAATGTAATTTGCAAATGTGGTGTGACCTACATATGAAATCTGTTGGACACGAATATAAGAGCATAACAGCTGATTATCCAGATTAATCTTGCAACAAGGGAAATAGCCAAATAATGCAAGTTATTTTAAACATTGTATCTTTGCTTAATCGAATATGGTTTAGCATTAGAAGGGTTTGTGGCATGTTTTATTAACCCAGCCACTACTGGTTGTTTATTTTAGTTACAGGGTGGTATAATTGTTATAGTCTAATTAATATAAATGATAGTACCGCAATAGTTAATGTTTTATCCAAAGACATTTAGGAACTTTACTTAACTTACTATTAACCATTATTTATAATGATAGACATGTTCAGACTGCAAAAAGCTATGGCTAATGACATAGAAAGGGGTTTGAGTCAGTAACACAGCCCATACAGAGGAGAGCAAACCCGCTGATGCTTAATGCCCCTGCCATGGCAGTGTCTACAGGGAACAAGGGCCACTGTAACTTTACCTATTGAAGGTCACCCTACTGCTTTCCTGGTTTCCTGGTTAACACAGGTGCATCCCGCAGTGTTCCTAGAGAACAAGACCTGCCTGACTCATCGTTCCTGCCTGACACCGATGTCTCTTGTGTTGGTGCTGATGTCCTATCCCGCCTCCAAGCATCCATCACCCTCACTGCAGACGGCCAGGTTCAATTAAATACACCTTTGTCATGAAAAGACACTACAGTTCTTTGTTCCCTTCCCATTTTACTGTGGAGATGATCTACCCACAACAGAACAATGCTCAATTCATCTTCTTTACTATCTAGCAGAACAAGGATGTGAAGCTTCACGTCTCAAGCTGCAATTCTGCCAACCTACTGTTATCTTCCTTGGCCATTGTCTGTCTCAGGGAACCAGACATCTCACTCGTGACCGAGTTAGAGCAGTACCGGACATTCCACCTCCAAGGACCTCAAAGTCACTACACGCCTTCCTAGGCCTCATTTCCTATTGCCGAGCATGGATCCCAGAAGCCTCGCTCCTTATGCAACCTCTTTATGATGCTCTCAAGTCAGACCCATTTTGCTTGTCCACAGAAGCCCTTGATAACTTCTGTTCTCTCAAACGTGCTATTGCTTCTGCTCCTGCTCTTGGCCTACCAGACTATACCAAACCGTTCAAATTGTTTGTTTCTGAAAGACAAGGCCATGCAACAGGAGTGCTCACTCAGGCCCATGGTCCTGGAGGCCGCCAAAGGCCTATTGGATTTTTCTCCTGCCAACTGGATATTGTGGCCAGAGGACGTCCCTCTTTGCCTTCGGGCCGTCTTTGCTGCCAGAGAGCTCATTGAAAGAACTGGAGATCTTGTCCTTGGCCACCCCCTGGTTGTCTTGGCCCCCCATGACATTTCTGCCATAGTCAACCAGGTCCAACTTAAGCATGTTACTCCTGCTAGGCATCTTCGCCTTCAATGTCATCTTTTGTTGCCTGACAACATTACCCTCCAAAGATGTCAAGTTCTCAATCCGTCCACTCTTCTGCCACTCCCTGAGGGGGGTGTATACTACGGATTCATCATGGACGAAACTTATGTTTTTCTTCTCACTGGCACCATCAAGAAGGAAATGCATCCCAACCTATCCTTTCATGATGGCAGCAGGATATGCCTTCTGTACCATGTGGTACAAATCAAACATCACTCCTGAACCCTGCTATGAAGATGAACTCTATCATCTGGTCGAAGTAAAACTCACTGCACAAGACTTCTACTGTGATTCTGAAGGCAACAGTATGGTCTTGATTCATCTACCCCCGGAACTCAAGCATTTGTACCGTCATTGGGACACTGCCATTCCACATGTCCCTGTGACCAAGTTGAAAACAATATCATGGAATGATCTTGGGCCTATGGCAAAAGCATGGGCCACTATGGACGAATCACAGCTACAGGAAAATGGTGTTGTCAAATATCCAACAACTGACCCTAAAAGCATGGCCACGTCATTTCCTGGAAAATAAGTTCCAAGATTTAACCATAGTGAATGAATACGACCCAGATACACCTCATGACTGTTTTGAACAGATGAAAATGGAAACAACACATCTACCAACTGTGCATGAAGACCCATTGGTAGATCCCGATCTCACCCTGTTTGTGGACGGCTCAAGATATGCTGATGAAGAAGGAAGATACCATACAGGATATGCCGTAACCACAACAGATGAAATTGTCAAATCATCATCTTTACCATCAACTATGTCTGCACAAGAAGCTGAATTGCAAGCCCTGACTTCAGCATGCAAGATCTCTGAAGGAAAGCGCGCCAATATCTACACGGATTCAAGATATGCACTGGGCGTGGCTCACGACTTCGGATTAATTTGGAAAACAAGAGGATTTCTTACCACCACCGGTACACCAATCAAGCACGGTTACGCAATCAAGGAGCTGATGGACGCCCTCCTACTCCCAGAAGAAGTGGCTATTTTGAAGATAAAAGCACATGGGAAGTTGGACTCAGATGAAGCAAAGGGCAACCATCTAGCTGATCAGGCTGCAAAACAAGCTGCAAAAGAACCACAGGAAGTGGAAAGAAGAGTGTCCGGAAATGAAGAAACTCCCATATTTACTTTGCAGACTCTTCCAACTGACCTGAAAATCCTGCTGGAACAACAGGCTACAGTTGCCCCTGAAGAAATACAGAAGTGGAAACAGAAAGGGGCAGTTCTGAAGGATGGAGTGTACTCCAACAACCTCAATTTCTGCCTCCCTAAGAATTTGTACCCAGCAGTCGTACAATGGGCACACAGACCTGCACATTTATCAAAAGATCTAATGAATTCTCTTGTACAAAAATACTACCTCATTGTCCCCATACGAGATTCTATTTGGGACTGCACCTAGGCTAGGTTGCTATTTTCCCCAACAACTACAACTTCAAACTGATGTTTTAGTAGATTATGTAACTGAACTTGCCAATGCTTTGAACAAAATCCATGCCCAAGTTTTCTCTTCAATTCCAGATCCTGATTCTGACACAGGCAACCACAGTCTGCTCCCCGGTGACTGGGTTCTGGTCAAGAAATTTGTGCGAAAGCACACCCTGGAACCAAGATTTGACGGACCGTTCCAAGTTCTCCTGATCTCCCCTACCTCTGTCAAATTGACCGGAAGGCCTAACTGGATCCACGCTTCCCACTGCAAGAAGACACCTGCCCCAGAGGAAGCTAACTCTATGCAACCATGTGCCTCTGGTACATTATCTCCTTAGTTGGCCTCCTTAAAGCCCAGCAGGTGGCCATCACCAAAGATGCTAGTGGGTACACTTTCTGGTATAATTCATCATGTACCCATGTGGCTACATTCACTTTTGATTACTGTGATATTGTAGAGTGCCCATTCCCTAAGTCACAGATTCAAGCCATTTATAAAGATATACCACAAGCAAAAGACCCTTACGTTTGTGTAGTAGATGAACAATGGGGTTGTGACTGTAACTACTGGGGGGCTGCGGGATGGAATACTGGGCCTGCCTGGGGTTATAAACCCAAAAGTGCTTTATCCAAGATAGACAATCAGGGTAGATCCCTCCTTCAAAGAATGACTTTAAGAAAGCCTGGAGGAAGTACCCCTATGAAATTAATGTTAAATATTGAACATCCTGGCCCCGAGGATGCAGACCGATATGTAATGGGAATGTATTGGAAGAAAGGTTCCTACAACAAATTAGGTCATTTCTACCTCAGAGATATGTACCACTCTCCAGAGTGGCAAGGGCTGATCATATGGTCCCAAATCCGCTAAAACCACATATCCAGTCCTTTAAAGATATGATGGCCATCGCTAACCCCACTTTTGAAGATACCATGGCCGCTGAAACTGGATTCAATGACATTAATTTGTGGTTAGAATGGATGAGGTATAATGCTAACAAACATAATAAAACAGCATGTTATGTATGTGGCGGTGCCCGACCCCACCTTGGCACCGTCCCCCTAATTCTCCCTTTAGAGATAGAAGATTGCTTCTTAAGCCTTTTTGCCTACCAATATGACTTTAATAGGTCCCTCTGCATGGCATGGACGGCAGAATACCCTCTCTTAGTTGAAAATGTTAAGCCACCAGATGGAGTCACAGTCTATAGAGGTAATTACACTTGTTATGCCATGTATGACGGGATTGGTAAATTCATGGGTAACCTTTCTAAAGGTTATTGCGCCACTTACAGAACTGTTCCTATACGCCTGTTGCAACACCATACCAGGTCATTGGGGGATATTTACTGGTTATGTGGGGATCTACAGTTAAGATCTAGGCTGGAAACTGAGTGGTGGGGTGAGTGTACCCTAGCCAAAGTTAGCATGCCCATTCATATTATTTCTGATAATCATCATGACACATACGACCCTCCACATACATCAGCCAGAGTAAGGCGCGAAACCCCAGTAAAAGGCAGTTTTGACCCCCACATTTACATAGATGCCATTGGGGTGCCTAGGGGGGTACCTAATGAATTTAAAGCTAGAGATGAAGTAGCTGTAGGTTTTGAATCACTTTTTACCATAGTCACTGCCAACAAAAACCTTAATTGGATTAATTATATCTATTACAACCAACAGCGCTTCGTGAACTACACCAGGGATGCCCTCCAGGGATTGGCCGAGCAATTACAGGCCACATCCCAAATGACCTTCCAGAACAGACTGGCCTTAGACATGATCTTAGCCGAAAAAGGGGAGTCTGTAAAATACTTCCCGACACTATGACTTGTTGCACTTACATTCCAGAAAACACAGGTCCTAATGGTAAAGTCACTCTAGCCATAGCTAAATTAAATAGACTCTCAGAGGAGTTAAAGAGAAACTCTGGAGTTACTGATCCCTGGGAAAAATGGTTTGGTTGGATGACTGGTTGGCAGAGAGCTTTAGTCCAGATTGGTATTGCCTTACTAATTTTTCTTTTTATTCTCGCTCTTCTCATTTGTTGTGTCCTCCCATGCCTAAGGAAATTTCTGCAGAAAACTGTAGACCAAGCAACACCAACCTTCACTCATCTGACAATCGATGATCAAGACCTCATCTCACCCTGTATTCCGCTACAAACTCTCCCGTATACTGATGAAGTGCAGAAAGTCTAGGAAGGGACAGTACAGCGTCCGTCTTTATGGGTAGACTGCCGTACGGAGAAGTAGTGGATAAGCCACTATGGGTTACCAGCGGAGTGAAGAGTGTTCCTGAACCGTACTGACGGATGTGCTGCAGCCTGTTAGGGTCAAGAGAGGGATAGACTTGCACTTTGCATTAACACTAAGTCAGCGGTCATGGGGTTTCTGTGTCTTTGGGCTAATACTTCTTCTGATACTAACAAATAAAGTTTTGTCTTTTAGCAAATAACATTTTAGGGGGGACTGTTGTAGAATTATTAGGCCTCTATAAATTTGTAAGGCCCCTTTAAATCCTCTTGCTATACCTCTAAGAGGCCCCCATAGTTTTACAAGGAAGCTTTGTCTATAGAACATAGAATTTGCATGTCAGCAAGAAATAGCTTTGATAAAATGTGTATTTACTAAAATCCTTGAAACTTAACCTTGAGAAACTAACAAGTGCCAGCTACGCTCCAAATGGATAGCCGCCAAAAGGCCCCTCCCGTCGAGTGAGCTCCTCATTTTAACAAAATGGCGCTAAGACCTGTAGGAGTTAAGAAATTACGTAGATAGTGACCTAAGAATGGGGAGGGTATTTTACTAACATCTTAGCACCTAAGCCAATTAACAATGTCTATTTGTCTATATCTTGATTTTCTTCAATGATGTAATAATGCCTTTATAAGGGTCTGCGCACCCATTTTCTGTCAGAAGTCATTAAACTTCTCCGAAGTTCTTTCATTAACCTGAACTTTGTGTCTCAGTGTGAATTTACTTCTGCGTGCACGCAACTTTATTATCTTTAATTTGGACAGGAACAGATAGTCATTCAAACTAATTGGTTTGCAGTAAATTATCTAGAACAATGTAATACAGGTTGCTTACAGGATTATGTAGAGTTGCAGCAGTTGAGACAGGTAAGTAGATTCCGGTATAATGTAATACAGGTTGCTTACAGGATCATGCAGAGTTGCAGCAGTTGAGACAGGTAAGTAGATTCCAGTATAATGTAATACAGGTTGCTTACAGGATCATGTAGAGTTGCAGCAGTTGAGACAGGTAAGTAGATTCCAGTATAATGTAATACAGGTTGCTTACAGGATCATGCAGTGTTGCAGCAGTTGAGAGAGGTAAGTAGATTCCAGTATATTGTGATACAGGTTGCTTACAGGATCATGTAGAGTTGCAGCAGTTGAGACAGGTAAGTAGATTCCGGTATAATGTAATACAGGTTGCTTACAGGATCATGCAGAGTTGCAGCAGTTGAGACAGGTAAGTAGATTCCAGTATAATGTAAAACAGGTTGCTTACAGGATCATGCAGAGTTGCAGCAGTTGAGACAGGTAAGTAGATTCCAGTATAATGTAATACAGGTTGCTTACAGTATCATGCACTGTTGCAGCAGTTGAGACAGGTAAGTAGATTCCAGTATAATGTAATACAGGTTGCTTACAGGATTATGTAGAGTTGCAGCAGTTGAGACAGGTAAGTAGATTCCGGTATAATGTAATACAGGTTGCTTACAGGATCATGCAGTGCTGCAGCAGTTGAGACAGGTAAGTAGATTCCAGTATAATGTGATACAGGTTGCTTACAGGATCATGCAGAGTTGCAGCGGTTGAGACAGGTAAGTAGATTCCAGTATAATGTGATACAGGTTGCTTACAGGATCATGCAGTGTTGCAGCAGTCGAGACAGGTAAGTAGATTCCAGTATAATGTAATACAGGTTGCTTACAGGATCATGCAGTGTTGCAGCAGTCGAGACAGGTAAGTAGATTCCAGTATAATGTAATACAGGTTGCTTACAGGATCATGCAGAGTTGCAGCAGTCGAGACAGGTAAGTAGATTCCAGAATAATGTATTACAGGTTGCTTACAGGATCATGCAGAGTTGCAGCGGTTGAGACAGGTAAGTAGATTCCAGTATAATGTAATACAGGTTGCTTACAGGATCGTGCAGAGTTGCAGCAGTTGAAACAGGTAAGTAGATTCCAGTATAATGTGATACAGGTTGCTTACAGGATCATGCAGTGCTGCAGCAGTTGAGACAGGTAAGTAGATTCCAGTATAATGTAATACAGGTTGCTTACAGGATCATGCAGTGTTGCAGCAGTTGAGACAGGTAAGTAGATTGTAGTATAATGTAATACAGGTTGCTTACAGGATCATGCAGTGTTGCAGCAGTTGAGACAGGTAAGTAGATTCCAGTATAATGTAATACAGGTTGCTTACATGATCATGCAGTGTTGCAGCAGTTGAGATCGGTAAGTAGATTCCAGTATAATGTAATACAGTTTGCTTACAGGATTATGCAGAGTTGCAGCAGTTGAGACAGGTAAGTAGATTCCAGTATAATGTAATGCAGGTTGCTTACAGGATCATGCAGAGTTGCAGCAGTTGAGACAGGTAAGTAGATTCTAATATAATGTAATACAGGTTGATTAAAGGATCATGCAGAGTTGCAGCAGTATAGACAGGTAAGTAGATTCCAGTATAATGTAATTCAGGTTGCTTACAGGATCATGCAGAGTTGCAGCAGTTGAGACAGGTAAGTAGATTCCAGTATAATGTAATACAGGTTGCTTACAGGATCATGCAGTGTTGCAGCGGTTGAGACAGGTAAGTAGATTCCAGTATAATGTAATACAGGTTGCTTACAGGATCATGCAGTGTTGCAGCAGTATAGACAGGTAAGTAGATTCCAGTATAATGTAATACAGGTTGCTTACAGGATCATGCAGTGTTGCAGCAGTATAGACAGGTAAGTAGATTCCAGTATAATGTAATACAGGTTGCTTACAGGATCATGCAGTGTTGCAGCAGTTGAGACAGGTAAGTAGATTCCAGTATAATGTAATACAGGTTGCTTACAGGATCATGCAGTGTTGCAGCAGTCGAGACAGGTAAGTAGATTCCAGTATAATGTATTACAGGTTGCTTACAGGATCATGCAGAGTTGCAGCGGTTGAGACAGGTAAGTAGATTCCAGTATAATGTAATACAGGTTGCTTACAGGATCATGCAGTGTTGCAGCAGTTGAGACAGGTAAGTAGATTCCAGTATAATGTAAGGATAGCAGGCTG